AGGGGAGTTTCCAAGGGGTGGTTCAAGTGAGCCTTCCTGTCTAGGGGTTTATATACAGCTTTCCTTCCCTGCAGGCAGGGGAATTTGAGGAGATGGAATGTCACAACCATTTGGTGTCAGGGGCCTGAGAGCAGAAGTTAATTTTAAAACTCCCTAGCATAGGAATGTGGTCTTGCTTTGTTTGGGGTGCGTTCCTTGCTCCAGGAGTGATGGCTTAGATGGGAGGGTGGTCAGACTCACTCTTGGACCTGTCTGGGCCCATAGAATGTGGTTGAGCTTGATTAGGCCGAGAAGGCGGGGTTCAAGTCCAGCCCACAATGAGGGGGATATATCAGTGGGTTCATATCCTGGCTCCTCCCCTTGTTCAGAGAGGAAAACATTGATCTTTTCTAAGCCTCAGGTTCCCTTCTCTCATATAGTCTTGGAGGACTGGATATAATAACATACCCCAAATTTCTAACAGACTTCCTATCATATGGTAGGCCGCCTACTCCTATTATGAAACTGTTATCTCAGGAAGGTTTTACAAAGCCACTAATTGCATCTATGCCTTGTAAAAGGGCCTTTGACGGAGCTCTTCAAACCCTTTTCTCAACTCTCTGAGAGGCAGTGCTTCCCATTTAAGGGAGAATGGCTTGCTACAGGCCAGACATTTATTGAATTGCCCAGAACAAATGTTGTTTTGCTTTTTCATTGGAGATCATGAGGCTCTGGTATAAAGCACAGATTGCAGTTTTGTGTTTTTTCTTTTTATTGCTTTTGATCAAAAAAGCAATACATAGAGTCGTTACAGAAAATATCCAAGCAACACAGAAGCGTATATATATAGAGAGAGAGAGAGAGAGAAAAGAGAGAGTGTAAAAATTGCCCTTACCACATGCACTTTCTGACGTACATTTAGGATGTTGGGGTCGGGGTGTAGAAAAATAACATTTTTCCTTTTTTGAATCTTGACTCAATTGAGAAATAAGATTAAGACAGAGGGAAGGCTCGGCGCCTATAGCTCAACCGGCTAAGGCGCCAGCCACGTACACCTAAGGTGGCGGGTTCGAATCCCCAGCCCGGACCCACCAAACAACAATGACGGCTGCAACCAAAAAAAAATAGCCGGGCGTTGTGGCGGGCGCCTGTGGTCCCAGCTACTTGGGAGGCGGAGGCAGGAGACTCGCTTGAGCCCAGGAGTTGGAGGTTGCTGTGAGCTGTAATGCCACGGCACTCTACCCAGGGGGGGACAGCTTGAGGCTCTGTCTCAAAAAAAAAAAAAAAAGACAGAGGGAAGCAAATTCCACTTTTATTACTAATAAAGTTGGCCTTAGAGAACGTGCATTATACTTGAGGGCAAGTGGGTTTTCTAACTAAACCCCAGAATTAGATAAACCATCCTGGTAGTACTGGGCCAGCTCAGATGGAGCCTTAGCTGCCAAAACCACCTGGCCCAGCGCAATCTAGTTACAGGTTCTCTGTAGGTGGGCATGTAGGAGAGAGGAGGGCACAGAACTCATGCCAGTTCCTTATGCTAATCTATCAGTCACAAACAGCTGGCTTCACGTGTGTGTGTGTGTGTGTGTGAGAGAGAGAGAGAGAGAGAGAGAGGGTAGACAGACAAACAGACAGAGACAGAATAGAGGGATAGAAAGAGGTCAGGAGCACTATAGTAAGGATTGTTCTCCAAGAGGAAGAAAACATCCAAGTGGGCTGTCGGGGTCCTGTCGGTTCTGTGGGTTCTGTTGCTGCTGATGAGAGCAGCGTCGGCTGAGACCTGTGGAAACTAGCAGTGATCGACTGAAGAAATATAGTTAGAAGCAACAGTAAGGAAAGACAAGTGACATAGAGTAGAATTAAAAGTGGGGTGGGTGGCGCCTGTGGCTCAAAGGAGTAGGGCACAGGCCCCACGTACTGGAGGTGGTAGGTTCAAACCCAGCCCCAGCCAAAGACTGCAAAAAAAAAAAAAGAATTAAAAGTGGGAGCCAGGGGTCCATTGCGCCTTGTGGGATTCCAGCAAGGGCACTGGGTGTTTGCTCCACTCTGCTTTTATCGGAGTCTATTTGCCCAGAGGGTAAGATGAGGGAGGGAACAAAGGCATCAGCAGTTTATTGGATTGATCATATCAGCTCCTATTGTTATTATAATTAATCTTAAGGATGGCCTTCAGTAATCTGAAATCTGAGCCTTGGATTGGGAGAGGCTCCTGCTTAAGGTCACCCACACAGATTTCTAGGGAAGTGTGAAGCTCCACTAGTTCTCTGTGGAGTACAATGCCATTAGCATTAATCTCCTCTGAGGGATCAGTGGGAGGGAGGCATTTTCCTCCCATCACCATCACAGAGGATTTTCCTCTGCCATAAGGGATATAAGCTCTTTTGCCCATATCTGAGAGTTAAGGGATATAAGCTCTTTTGCCCATATCTGAGAGTTGGACCTATTCCCTTGGTCTCTGCCCCAGGCAAATACAAATCTCCACATTGGGTATTTGCTCTGCCTGTTTAACAGGCAGGAAACACCCTAGAAGATGTATCCTTTTCTAGGACTTGTCAAAGCTTCTTCTGTGACCATTATTCTCCTCAGAGTGCTCACAGATCCAGCCAGGTGTTTGTAAGCTCTATCCCCAACAGACTAGAATTTGAGAAAAGGCAAGAAGCTTGCTAGCAATGGCTAGCTTAAAGGTAAACTAGCTGACTTTTCTTTGTTCTGACTCACTTGGCTTACTTTCTAGTTTATCTCTTTTTCTGGGGGTGCTTTCTTTTGCCAAGAATGGGCTCTTTGGTCCCCATTCTCCCAGCAGGTTGCCGGTCCTCATATATTATCTCCAGTTTTCTGCTGCTCTCCCAACACTTTCAGAAACAGCCTCACACGTATTTCATTGGGCCCTTGGGTGACTATGCAGAAAAAGTTACCTAGAAAAAAAGTTCCGAGAAGGGACCTCTGGTTATGCATAGATGCATACTGAACTTTGATTTTGGATCTAGGAACTGAAAGTATTTTTATTTTCCCTGTTACTTCTACTGGGATTTACTAACCTCAATTTATTTATTTTATTTTAATTTTCATTTTTTGTGGGGGGACAGAGTCTTACTTTGTTGCCCTTAGTAGAGTGCTGTGGTGTCATAGCTCACTGCAACCTCAAACTCTTGGGCTCAAGCTATCCTCTTAGCTCAGCCTCCCAAGTAGCTGGGACTACAGATGCCTACCACAACACCTGGCTATTTTTAGAGACAGGGTCTTCCTCTTGCTCAGGCTGGTCTTGAACTCCTGAACTCAAGCAATCAACCTACCTTGGCCTCCCAGAGTGCTAGGATTACAGGTGTGAGCCACCACACCTGGCCTAACCTCAATATATTAATAGTCTCTTCTGGTAGGGAAAGGTTAAGGAACTGTCAGCCTTGGGGTCACTTGTGATCTCTGGATCCTTGAGTGCAGTCTTTGAGCTTCTGACTGAACCCAGATTTTACACCACCTCTGGCATACGGGTGGTGGTGCCCTACTCCTTTGAACCACAGGCACCGCCCTTTTTTTTTTTACATAGAGTCTCACTCTGCTGCCCAGGCTAGAGTCCTATGGCATCAGGCTGGTCCAAGCACCTCAAACTCCTGGGTTCAAGCAATCCTCCTGCCTCAGCCTCCCAAGTAGCTGGGACTACAGGTATTCCCCAGGACACCTGACTATTTTTTTCTTTTTTTAGTAGAGACAGGTCTTGGCTCTTACTCAGGCTAGTCTTGAACTCCTCAGCTCAAGGGACCCTCCCACCTTGGCCTCTCAGAATGCTAGGCTTACAGTCATGAGCCACAGCTCTGGACCAGAACAAACCCTTTTAATAAAGGGATTTGTTTTGTGAAGGCCACACCTGGGATCTGGAGGGCTTTGAGGCTGCAGGTTCTCCACTCACAGAAGTGTAGATCCAGCCTCTCCTGTCTGAGCCCCTCATTTGCAAGTATCTGGCTACATAATTGATCTTCCTCCATTCCCAGTGCCATCCTCTTCAAATGGGCATAATGTCACCTAGGGGATTGGGGAGAGAAAGGGGAAGGGAGTGGGCAGCCGTGCAGAGAAAGAAAAAAATGGGTCTACAAAAGCAAAAAGGTGTGGGGCACCTTGTCCTTAGAGGTGAAAAAACAACCAGCAGGACACGGATTACGGAGACTCAGGTTTCGAAGGCTGCTGGGAGTGTCTACCCTAGGCTTAAATAGCCTCCCAGGAATTCCAGGAAGCGCTAAGGCCCTGGGCAGTTTCCTCACTGGCAGTCCCCAAGTGCCTGGTGTACAGGGATACTCCTTGGTCACGCCTGACCATCAAAGCCTTCCGTCTGTCCCAAACAAGAAGCAGTACCAAAGAATTCAAAAGAGGGGAGGGCTTCCGTGCACGTGTGACTTTTAATAATGAAGAAAAATAAAGTGAAAATAGGAAATAAAGTGCAAGGTAGCTGCCCCAGGGGAAGAGATGTCAAGGGCATTTACACAGCACCTGTCGTGTCACAACTCTCTTCCAACAGATGTTAAGGATGGAAACACCGAGGCTCAGAAGGGTGGCTTAAGTTGCCCAAGGGCACTCAGCAAACTTGTAGCTTAGATCCTAGACTCCGCAGAGTGCTCTTTCGGGTGTCGAGGTGGAGGGCGGAGTTGCGGCGTGGAAGGCTCAACTGGCGTGCCCTCTCCGGTCTCCACCGCCCGGGGCCCAGCCTGCGGGAGTCGGCTCCGGGCCCCAGCGCCCTCCCTCCACCTCCTCCCCAGCCAGCCTGCGCGCCGGCCCCCTGCCAGTCCCCGCTGGGTGGAGGCGCGCGGGTAGGGCCGCGTCCTTATCAATGGGCTGGGTGGTTTAGCGCGCTCGGCCACCTCATCCTAGGAGCGGTAGTCCAGGCCCGCCCCGGGTCTGGTGGCCCAGCCATGGCTTCTCAGAGCCCGGTGGCCGGCAGGGGTCCAGGACCCCGCGCCGGGTGCTGAGCTCCCGATCCGGCAGGGCGCACAGGCCGGTGGCCGTCGGGCGCCCCGGGGAGCGCACCGGACACCATGCATCCCCGTCTGTCGCCGCCGCTACCTCCGCTACTGCTGCTGGTGCTGCTCTCCTGCGCCCAGCGCTGGGTGAGTACCTCGTCTAGCTGCGGGCTGGGGCCGAGGGGCCGGCGGGCTCGCCCCTCTTTGGGATGGGAGTGGAGGAGTACCAGCAGAGTTTCCGCTGAGAAAAGAGAACTCTTCCCTCATACCGCTCCCAACGTTAATCTCTGCCTGCACTTCTCCCGGGCCCTCCTCCCCAAAGACAAAACTCTAAGGCAAATTCCCTTGTCCTCCACCCCACCCCCTTCCTCTACCCCGCGCCTCCTAGTCGGTCCTAAACGGAAATTCTGGAGCCGCCCAGGCAGTGCCTGTTGTGTGCTGGGCACTTTGCCTCCAATATTTCGTTGAAACCTCGTATTTGCTTTCAGAGGTTGATATTATCACCCTCACTACACGGACAAGGAAACCAAGGCTCGGAGAGGAGGAAACAAAACAAAACAAAACAAAACAAAACAGCTTGCCCTAAATCCGAGACCCAGGCGAGGTTGCAGAGAGGAAAACCTCAAGAGAGATCTGGCCAGAGCTCTCGGCCTGTGGTGGGACCATTTGCAGCTCTCAAGCGCCCATCCCTGCCCCTCCTAGGGGAGTTGGCTCCCCAGTGTCCGTGTGTGGTGGCTCCAGGGAGCTGTTATTCCCCACAGGCCAGGATCAGGGAGGGGGCTGGAAGAGGGAAGAGAAGGCGGCAGGGTGAGTGCTTTGTTTTTCTTTCCCACAGAAACTCCGTCCAGGGCTTCTCTCTCTGGGATTTCTGAATAAGAGAGTGGCCTCACCGTGATGGGCAGATAGAGGAATGGGGCAGGAGGGCGGGTTTGGGAGTGGAGGGCAGATTCCAGAATCATCCCTTCACTGTTTATTCCAAACTAGCCCTCCCACCTCTAGTCTAAGAAACTCCTCAGCGAAAGAATTTGGTAACCCAACTCCAAGTCTCCAATCTCTGTCTTTGGCAAGGTTCTTCCGCCATGAAACATCCTTGCTTTCCTGTAGGCTGTGCCTATCTGGTTATAAGAAAAGCCTGTGCTCCTGGAGCTGATGGGAACACTGACACTCAGGGGACGCTCCTCTTTCTGGCTGTTCTGTGACATTCAGGCAATTGTAGTTTGGAAGAATGCAATTTGGAGCTCACTGGAGCTCCCTTGCAACCTTGGAGCCTCTTCTCTTCAGGGGCAGTGCTGCCATTGAAAGGTGCTAGAGCAACAGCACCCACTCTAGTCTCAGTCCCAATTTGAGGAAATGCCACCTGCGACACTGGGGACAGTTCAAAGGCTGATACGGCCTGCAGGTGTATTACTCCATGGTTAGGGCAGGAAAGGCAACAGCCTCTTTCTTCAGACCCTCCCAGCCTCCCTTCTTAAGTATTTGCAGTAACCCCGAGGCTCTCATAACTAGTACCTGGACTGTGTAGGTCTGAGGTTCAGCCTGCATTTTTATCTCAAGGAGACCCCCAGTTTACTTGTAATATAAACAGAGGAGAAAACAAGATGTGCCGGTTCAAGTCTTGAGTGTACCTTGGAAGGAAGCTTCATTATGCTGTGGCCCAGTTCCTCATTTTATAAGTGAGAAAACTGAGGTCCTCAGAGAAAAGATACCTGCCTGAGATCAGCAGGTTCATGGTAGAGCTGAGACTAGCACCCAGATTTCTTGATTCCCAACCACCCAGGGCTCTGTCCATTATACCTTGTATTTACATGTCATTTTCATACACCGTGTGCTGCCTTACAAGATGGCTTTCTGTGTATAACTTGTGGGCCTCTATGTTATATGGGCTTATCCAGACCTGAGGTTGTACATAGTGTCACACACTTCTTGGAAGAGAACTCCTTTAATAAAGTGAAATTGACCTACTTGGCTGAAGTATTTCCCAGACTGTGAAATCCTACTTTCTTTTTGTGCGTTTAACTCTGGGTGGTCAGACATTTGATTTGAAACTTAAGTCTATTCACATAATCTTTATTCATTTGGGGCTCCCTCTTGAGGGAGATCATAGGTATCTTCCTAGTCACTGAGGCCAGACTGCTTATTACTACTCCCCTCCTCTATATAGGGAGGTGTCAGAAAGGACCCTTGGCAGTAGAAACCAAAAAGTGGTGTGGCCAAAGGGAGCAGTTTTCTGAGGCCCCCCCATAAGAAGCACTGAGCACACTCCCTCTGCCACCCCTATCCCCCATGAAGCTCATGAGAATTTTTACCTGGAACATTATTGTAATTATTTACTGACAAATCTGTTTCTGCCTTCCCCGCCGCCTCCACCACCCATCAAAACACACCCTTTGTGCTTAAGCATTGAGATTTTTTTTGTGCGTGCCTATATTTGAAACAAGTTTCCCAGGGCCAGGCATGGTGGCTCACGCCTGTAATCCTAGCACTGTGGGAAGCTGAGGCAGGTGGATAGCTTTAGCTCACAAGTTTGAGACCAGCCTGAGCAAAAGCAAGACCCTGTCTCTACTAAAAATAGAAAAATTGAGGCAAGAGGATCACTTCAGCCCAAGAGTTGGAGGTTGTTGTGAGCTATGACGCCACAGCACTCCACCCAAGGCAACAGCTTGAGACTCTGTCTCAAAAAGAAAGAAACAAGTTTCCCAGATGATTGTTAGGTACACCTAACTGTAAAAGCACTGTCTTAAAACCAGTGTTAAAAATATGGTGATGATATGGCAGTGGTAGAAGCAGAACTTGAACTCAGATCCTCTCACCTTTTTTTTTTTTTTTTTAAGATATAGAGGGTTGGCTCAGTGCCCATAGCTCAGTGAGTAGGACACCAGCCACATAAGGCTGGCAGGTTTGAGCCCTGCCCGGGCCTGCTAAACAACAATGGCAACTCCAACCAAAAAATACCTAAGCACTGTGGCAGGCTCCTGTGATCCTAGCTCCTCTGGAGGCTGAGGCAAGAGAATCGCTTAAGCCCAAGAGTTTGAGGTTGCCGTCAGCTGTGACACTACGGCACTCTACCAAGGGTGACATAGTGAGACTCTGTCTCAGAAAAAAAGAAAAAAGATATAGAGGTCATACTCTGTTGCTGAAGCAGGTGTACAGTGGCCTGATCACAGCTCACTGTAACCTCAAACTCCTGGGCTCAAGTGATCTTCCTGACTCAACCTCCCTAGTAGCTGGAACTGCAGATGCATACCACCATGCCTGGGTAATGTTATTTTATTATTATTATTTTTTTGGTAGAGACAGTGCCTTGTTATGTTACCTGGGCTGGTCTCAAAATCCTGACCTCAAAAAATCCTTCCACCTCAGTCTCCTAAAGTGCTGAGATTATAGGCATGAGCCACCACACCCAGCTACCCAATCTTCTTTTTTTCTTCTTCTTGTTTTTGAGACAGTCTCATTTTGTCACCCTTGGTAAAATGCCATGTCATCATAGCTC